CTAATATTTATTAGGATATTTAGTAGATTTTTGGGTTGCCTATTTCGACCGTGATTCTCCTTTCAATCGTATAGCAGATTGAACTCATTTCCCAGCACCAGGTTGTCAAATAGGGTAAATTATATCTGTAAACAACTTGCTTTTATGAGAGCCGTGTATTTATTCATTGCTACGTTCTTTCCTAATCGAAGATGTGTGGGTGAGATACCAAGCCAAAATCTTGTCCAGCTTTTGCCGTTGGTGATGCCTGTGTTTGGAGACCAGGGAAGGTGTCCGGGGGATTATATGGGTAGGGTATTGGAAAACAACCCAGTTGACAATTGAGGATGCCTCGTTTGCTATCGGCTGGCACATTCAGAGCTGTAGATACATTTAATTGTGGCTGTGCCTTTCACACCCGATAAAGCAAAATCTTGACCTAGGTCAAGATGTTAGCTGAGAGTAAGTTCCTCTTTCAGGAGGCGTAAGTTTATCTGGGAAATGCCGTTTTGGTGCGTGTACTTGACCTTCCCCACAACGCTGGCGCTGAATCTTCCACCTGCACCACCAATGTTTTTGCTGCTCATTTTCGGTGCAGTCCGCCGCGCGCTACGTGACTCACAGCGCGCGTGCTCCGGCCACACAAGCGGCTCCAATTACATTGCGGATGGCACAGCACACCGCCGCCTCGTTTCGTTGTCGGGCCGTTGCCATCGCAGCGCCGCCCAACTGTCGCTCACTCCAGCTCGATGATGCTTACCGCGTCACTGATGAGTGCAACGGCCCTCATTTCATTGCGTCCGTGGTGCCGACCCCATCTCATCTTTCTCCGGCGCCATGACACATCCGCCGTCTCAAACGAGAGTTCACGTTGGTTCAGATTGGGTGCGCTCTTGGCAATCCGTTTCTTCGTCGGGGCGGCGACCCACAGGAGGCACTTCCGGTCTGGATACAATTACCACGCGCTCTCCAGAGGTACTATTTCCAGTTCTTGTTTTACCAATGAACTTCCCATTTTGCACGCGTTCAACTCTCATAATCCTGCTGATTACTTAGGCGAAGAAGAACTTGATTCTGGTCATCCACCACTGGATCCCTCCCATCGGCTCCGGCAGGCACAGCGTGGCAACTCTGGACTCGAAGTCGACCGGTAGATGAAGTCTTAAACGTAGCGATGCGGTTTCCAGCCGAGTCATTAACTGTTGGAGAGCGCGAGGACGAGATTCTGGACGTCCCTGTCAGATAAATGAGCATTGAGAATGAAGGAAATTAACCACCGTTCGAGCCTAACCCCGTGAGGCAAAGAATAAAAAAAGGAATTAACTATTATTCCCCCATTCGCACACCAGGAGTCGAACCCGGGCTCCCCGCATCACATGCAGTTGAATTATTGATGACGAGCGAGTGAGGATGGAGGGCAATTTTTTTGGACGTACGAAGAGGTCCCTGTCATAAAGATTAACATCCATGTGAATGAGATTGAATGACCTTGAAGGAAATGAATCGAACGCGGTGAGACAAAGAAGAAAGAAAAAAAAGACTTGTGGTCGCTAATCCGGACGCCGGGAGTCGAACCCGACCTGCCGCATTAATATCAAACAGGTCAATCAGGGTAAGCCGGTGTGCGCCGTGCACTACGTCCGAGGTACTGTCCCAACTCAGAGGGAGGCTGCGAGGGGCGAGTTTCTGGACGCACGATGAGGTTCATGCTAGATAAATGAGCATACATGTGAATGACCTTCAAGGGGGGATGAATCACTATCATGGGATGCCTCTGATTCTGTCCCAGACAACGAAGAAGAATAGGAAAAAGAACTCGCAGCGACTTTTCATTCGGCCGCCGGGAGTCGAACCCGGGCTTCCTGCATCATACAGTCGAATCCATGTAGGGCGAGCAGGTGTGCGCCGTGCACCACGTCCGAGCTATTCTCCGAGCCTGGAGGGAGGCTGCGAGGGCAAGTTTCGGGACGCAAGTTATCGGTGAGTCAGAGAAATAATAAGGTGTGTGACAGAGGAGCATACGTAGCGAGGGTTCCTGTGTGAATGAGCGCGGAGGAAATAGATTGAAGAAACCTCTGAGAAAAAATCAAGAAAAAAAACAGCTATTATAGTGCCATTCGGACGCCAGGAATTCAACCCGGGCTTCCCGCTTTCTAGGTGATCCCCTGTACAATGCGAGCGGTTGTGCGCCATACACCACGTCCGAGGGACTCTTTAACTTTGGAGGAAGGCTACATGTAAATTTTTGGGGCGAAGACAATACGTACGATAGGCACAAAGGAGGGAGACGAGTTGCAATTCAGTCCACATGAACTCCAGAAGTTGACAGAGTTCGGACGCCAGCCAGGGATCGAATCCGGACCTCTGGCATTTATTGAACAGCAGCGGCAAGAACAAGCGAGAGTCGACGTCCGGGTAATTGGGTACCATCATACGCACGCGAACAAGGTTCGGGTAGATGAAGACTCCGATTCAGAGCAAGTGAGGACGTGAACTTGAGGACATGATGGTTCGGGACAAGGGCTTGTTTGATCCCATCATGGCGCGAATGTTGGTTGCGTCTGTTTATCAGCGGCTTCCGCGCCTCTTTTCTTTCCACCACTGACCTCCACTGACATCATGTCTCGCACTTATTCTCCACCGTCCAGCCGCGCGTATAACGGGTGCGCTCTTCGTCAACGTGGGCTGAATACTCGAAGCCTCTGCTATCTGACTGGAACTCTACACGAAAGACTCGAGTCTTTGTTTTGTCTTGTTCTCGTCTCAATCTATTGTGCAAATAGTCCGCCTGTCCGCCTCCCCCCCAACTTGGACCCCACCATCTCCTCCGGCGCGCTCCCGCAGACGCCAGCGAGTGAATTGGCCGAGAACATGAACGATGTCCTCGGTGGACACGTCACTCGCACCCCGTCGGCACCCGGCCCTGCTGCCCCCGGTCCATTCCTGCACATCTCGAGTCACATCTAGGCCAGTCGTACTGACAGTTGAAACCAAGCGCCGTAGTCGTACATGCCCACGCTTGCCACCGCCAACGCATACCTCCCGCAAGCCGTCGCCGCGTACTTACGTGCGTCTATCCTTCTCAAGCTGTTTGCGACTCATCTTCCCTAACTTAGCTCCCTCGGAACCAGAATCCATCCCATAACTCTCTATATCTGAATCCTCCCTCCCCCGCTACCCCCGCGCGACGTCCTGAGTACAACAGCGTACATGGGGCACTAGCATTCTCCTCCCACCATCGCGCCGCTCGCCCTCGTTCTCCATCCCCTCGTCGCGCGCATTTCCCCAACAACGTCCGTGTCGTCGAATGCGCGGTCGAATGCGCGCTCGACGACGCTTACGGTTACAGCCGGTGCGGTGAACTGGTTCGGTTCAGGTCCGGTTCAGGTTCCCCAGCCAGGTGTCTGGTCTTTCTCTCTCTCCCTTTGCCACCGCTGCTTTCCAAATTCACCTTTGTTTTCTTCCTCTCGATCAAGTGCATCTGTAATGATGCTGCCTGATGTTATTAGCGAGTCCATCTTGCCCGAGCACTTCCGGTGCGTCTTGACTCTTCCAGTCGCTGCACCTCGACGAGGCCGCTCATACGCTCTGGATCCCTGCCTCTGCTCACTGTCCTCTGTCCTCCAAACCTGCTGTGTCTAAATGCCAGCATCCATCCTACGCTCCCTGGTGCCGCCAATCCACCACTTCCCTTGGATTCAAAACTATCAGGATCGCGTCTAAGCGAAATTCACACCCTTGTTTGAATTTGAAGAGCTCTTTGATCCGCATACCACTTTACTTGAGACTTTCTCGATCGAAGCTACAGATCTTTCAAGACACGTATATAAGGATCCTCGCTCTCCGTCCAATATCGCCCATATAATCCCGGCCTCATTCAGCACTGGTGGTGATCTTGCGCGGTGGGAGACAGACCGCGTGCGCACACTCGAAGCAAGTCCTGCATTCGCAGTCACAAGGAAGAAAATTAAATCAGCCCGGGACCGAAATAGTTAGGACTGGCGAGTACGCACTGCGGAATGATGATGCACGTTTCGTATTCGCTGCAGTGGCACTCCGGTACCTGTTGGGTGCAAATGATGCACCCGTCGTCGCGCGCCACTAGCGGAGCTGATTGATATCAGTCAACATTCGCGCCAGTCAGGTAAGTCGCAGTGGAATCGACGCACTGGAGACAACGACGCCGATGGCGAACGACGCGAGGAGCAGAGTGGGGAGGGAGAAGAGTTTGAACATGGTTGTCTGGACTCTGGTGAGAGGAATCCCTCCATGTGGATTTTATACACTCGCCAAGAGCCAAGAATTGAGTAAGTAGTACAAGGATCTTGCGCCCGCTCCTACCCTCCGTAAACTGGGGACGGTTCCAGCCCCAAACACTAGATTCAGGTCCTACTCGCCGACGGCGAACGCACGACTGACTTTCCGCCAAGGTCGAATGTCGTACGGAATTCAATTCGAGGTCTCGCATGAGGTGCCTTACTAGGAAACCGTACGTACGAATTCCATTATATTCCATTCTAGGCTAGTAGATTTTTCCAGGCATGCCGGGAAGCGGTAGATGGTTATTTTATTCATTCGTATGTCGCACTACATTCTTCGTTCCGTCTCAAGCGGTTGTTACATTCTTCCGTCTCCAACGTTTGTGTGTTCCATCTTTCCGTCTCCAACGGTCCTCTTTATCATCCTACTGTATCAACTTGGCTCGTTTGCCAAGAGCTCATCCCGCCCCGCGCCTCGGACTTAACTTGCCGAAGTCGTCTGAACAACAAATTAACAATTCATATGATACTTCCTGCGCGGCACGCGTTGGGTTAGAGCGGCGCGATGCAGAACGCCCGTGGATAGGTTTCTCAAGCTCTAGTTATGTACATATATGAGGGGGCGAGTTTCTTGGTGTACAAAGAGGTTCTGTCAGATAAATCAGCTATCGTCTGAAGTTGGACGTTGGCGGAATGAATCACAGTTATGGAAACCTGTAAAACGAATCGGTGGGAAAAGAATATTGCTTCCCCATTTTGATATTCGAACGCCAGGAATCGAACCCGGGCTTCCTGCCTCATAGAGTGGAATCCATGTAGGGCGAGCAGGTGTGCGCCATGCACCACGTCCGAGTTGTTTCCCCACCTGTGAGGGAGGCTGTAGGGACGACTTTCTGGATGTACGAAGAGGTCTCTGCCAGATAAATCAGCTACCTTGAGCTTGGGGGAATGAATTATGGTTAAGGAAACCTGGAAAACGAAGAGGAAAAAAGCTTATAGCAGCTCATTCGGACCCCGGGAGTCGAACCCAATCTGCCCGCATCATGCTTCAATATCTCATTGAGGGCGAGCGGGTGTGTACCATACACCACGTCCGAGCTATTCTCCGAGCTTTGAGGGAGGCCGCGAGGGCGAGGTTCTGGACGTGAGTCAGATAAATAATATTAATGAGGTGGATGAAAGAGTTACGCGGACTCCTGTACTAAAAAATGAGCATCCATGGGAATAACCGTCAAGGGGTCGCTGAAAAGAAGGGGAGGGAGGGGGAAAGCAGCTGCCTACCGTACCAATCGGACGCCAGGAATCGAATCCGACCTGCCGCATTGATATCGGTCTCCCAAGCATAGGCAGCGAGTGTACGCCGTGCACCACGAGCCATTCTCCGAGCCTGGAGGGAGGGTGCGAGCGCGAGTTTCTGGACGTGAGTCGCAGATAACGATGGTTAAGACATACTTGCAGAAAGGAGTTGTGAGGGAGTTCAAACGAATTCGAATGAAATCAAGTGTAAAACGAGGAGAAAATATCTTGCACCTCGTATTCGGACGCCGGGAATCGAACCCCGGGCTTCCCGCATCGCAAGCACTTTGATATTTCTCAACCTACATCAAGTGTGAGCCATGCGAGCTACTCTCCACCTTACTCGAGTCGCACTTCCACATCGAATTAATACAGTATTCCACCTCAGTAAGTCATGCATGTCCATCCCCCATCCAGTCACCAGTCACCACCGATCTCGCTGACGCGAGGTGGGTACCGAAGGGCATTTGTCCTCCGCTTCGGCTGTGTCCATTCTTTGCGGCAATTTTGAGTCTGGTGTCTTTTGGTAGTGTTATTCTGGTTTTGGCTTCAAGCCAGAACGAAGCCATGGTTTCGTCAACCCAAACCAGGCAGGCTACCGTGCTGGCTTGAGCTGGCTTTGGCTTCTGGCTTGGGATTTCAGAAGCCAAGCTTAACTTGTTACCCGCAAAGAGGCAAGTCAAGGTTATTTATCGGGTTGAAATCACCACGAGTGAGCTTTCCTATGATCTGGTTCATTGCTTACCAATTCCAAAGCACTGTTGAATAATATTGCAACCATCTGGCCAAATTGCGATAGCTGTGTTGGGATGTCGAGATTTAACCACGAGATTATGGCTGCCTTTCGGTTTCTTTTAGTTGGTTTAACATGTAAATAATTCGTCGTTTATACATCACTTACAAGAGCTAAGGGATCGCGGGAATAAACTTACAATCTTTTGGCTCCAAGCCTGGGCTCAAGCCACCGGTCCTGGTTTCCGCGCCAAGCCAAGCTAGACTATCTTATTATTATTATTTCCATTATAGTGCCTGCAGGCCCCTTGGGGCCTGTGTAGCACTCTACAAAATACAATGTTACTGTCGGCTGGAGTGGAGTGAAGTCGGGAACGGGAGCAGGAGAGGGGAGTAGTCATCGCAATGCCGTGAGGGTGGGGATTTTTATGTATCGGGTGAGATGTATCATGGCGGGGATGTATGAATCTAAAGTGCAATCTTATCGTAGCTATCTAAGTGGGGGGAAAGTAAGTATAAGTATACGTAGTCGTATTTCGAGTCAGAGGTCGTAGCGGGGGAGGCGGCCGGTGTCCCGCACAAAGGCGAGGACAGGGTCGGCTCATGCTTGATGGAAAGGAGGCGGCGGAGTGAGATGCGAGCGGTGCCGATGCGGGCGATCAGGCGGAGGCGGTGGGCACGGTGGGCGGGGCAGGTAAGGAGGAAATGCGGGACGGATTCGGGGGCACAACACATATTTTGGGCATTGCTGCTTACTCTGTACGTTCAATGACGACCTCAGGATCTCTGACTCTGGAAAGCGTTCGGGCTGCTTTCCACCGCTCTATAATGGCCCTCAGGGCTCATCTAAAAAACCCCCCAATTTTCGCGCCAATGTGATTATCGCTGATTTTTTACGTCCGGACGTCCACTGGAATTGCGTTGCTGTCTGTCATCATTCAAAGTTGCTTTTCAAGTTCCTCGTTGGATACTTTCGGTTACAGACGCACTCCCACGGATTGGGGCCCTGGATCTAAGAGCAAAATTAGAGAAAGAAATCTTCGTCGAACAGATCTGCGCAGCCCCGCCTTTCATATTCTCGCGAAACAGAACGTGCGACGGACAATGGGGCATCGTTTTCAGGACAACGAGGATATACAAGTGCGCAAGCAAGCATGATTCGATGGGGAGAATTATTTACCTGACACAACAGAAGCGCTGTCACTCATGGCGGGGGATCGGTGTCAGGAGTGTGGGAAGGGGACGCGACAGACATTAGTCGCAGTTCTGTGGATGTTGGTCTTATCTGCGAGGCAGCGGGGGTATAGAAGACATCTGCGGTCCCTCTTTGCAGTCGGAGAAGGGGGGGACCGGCCGTAATGAAAACCACCGCGCAGTAAAAAGCCGTGGAGACCGGTATGAGGAGGAACGCCACAGTGAAAACCTTCATTCCTCGATCCTCAGCCCACCATACCGCACTGAGCATTCCTTATGACCCACGTGTCAAACGCAATTGAGAATACTGGGTTAGAAGTGCGTACCGAATGCAAAGAGAATGGTTGCATTTGCGATAAAGATTGTTGGGCCCGCAATCGCCATGGTCGTGCCGTAAACGCAAGCCCGGTTGCGATAACACACCTGTAAACTGATTGTTAATGGGACTGTAATATCTGAGCGATGGCAGGGTATGTGACATACATTCTCCGTCCAATATGGCCATGCTTGGGAAAAAGCAGCGGAGCCAGCTGCAGCGGAGATGATACCTCCAATGAGGAGCCCGAATGCACTGACAATACATATGTAGGGCCCACGAAGTGTGTAGTTGACGAGCCCCGGAATGGGGGGTGGTGTGGTGATGAAGACGGACGAAGTGGCCAACAATAGGCTCCCCTCCGAGTCGATGAGAATCAGTCCATCGATATCTGCAACGCAGAATGGGACAGACATACCACGACTACCAGGTTGTTCATTCGACCAGTCAGTATATCAACGGCCTCTTTCCAGAGGCTCTCGTCGCCTTCTTCTTCGAGCCTGAAAGCTGCCCAGAGGGGTTCCATACCCGGCTGCCCGTATGCGGTGAAGCAGAGCAGGGTGAAGACAGTCCATCGCAACCGGCCGAACAGTCCTTTTCGAGCTGGCTTTCTGAAGCGGACCGCCATTGGATGTCTGTGCAATAATTCCTCTATCTTCTTACTTCGCAGACATGTTCTTATCGTCTTCACTAGCAGAGGATGCCCAATCGCTCATCTACAAGGGGACTGGCGAGTGGAAATCGGATGCAGAGATAGAAGTGGAAGGGAGGAAGCGGGCCACTGGCTAAAATATACTACTTATTCGGTGGCGCAAGTCAACGTGTTCCCTGCAGCGAATCGGGCACGGTGGTGATTGAGCGGACAGTCCCACGCCGCGGATTCTACAAATGCCTCTTCCGATGAAGGCTGAAGTTGGCGAGATTTGAAATGTGTAACGGCGACGACGGGCGAAAGATGAGGAGGGAAGGCACTTAACTGGTAGGAGACAGTGTTGATTCAGCAAAGAATGAAGAGACAGCTAGTGATGGGTGTATTCTGGGGTTAGATGCAATATGTCCGGTGAAAACGGAAATTGAAGAACTTCATGGAACATGCGTCAAAAACGCCGCGCGTCCTGCGCACCTTGTGTGCGTCGGAGTCACCTGGAGTGCACGTGGGCTTCGTGTGGATCGCGAATGGAACTCGCCAGGGAAAGTAAGTTGCGACGCCTGATGTGATCGATGGGCATGAGCGAGTAGTGAGTGATTGGAGAACACGGAGTTGTATAACTGTCAAGTATCGTCTGTGTCCCGATCGCGTTCGAGCGGGCAAGAGGTGGGCGGTATAAAAGTTTCCGACACAGACCTCCCAAGCCTCTGGACCCTGAATACTGTAGTAATCCGTGTCACCCGTCACCCAAGGTTCATTTTCTGACTGGCAACTGTTCATTTCTCGGCAATCATCGGAATATTCTCATAAATGGCATTTCAGCGAATGCCGGACCAGAGATTTTCGCATTTTCGAATCATGTTGGGCAACCATTTTTGATGGGTTCGTCACTCGCCACTTGAACACTTGGTCGGATTACAACAGTACGCGTACAAGGCTGTATTTCTTCACTCGCCAAACCAACAGAGCCGTTGTCGACCAGGTGCCGAGAGCCGAATCCAAATTATTGGTCTGGAAAAGAGTCGCCCTTGCGTTAGTTCTCCCGTTGTATCAAACACCAACCCCGTAAAAATAGACCAGTATTAGTGACTTACCATATGCAGCAAACCAGTAGTCAAATTGCGGGACATGTTGATTTAAATCCATTGCACTATTCTCGGCAACATCTGGACACTGTGCTTGCTGTAGCCACCGAACTTGCAACATTGTTGCAACCGTGGGACTGTTGGCTGATCTCGGTTCCCTCTGCAAACTACGAAGACGGAGTACGAAACACCAAAGCACGGTCGTCAAACAACGTTCACAGAGCACGTAATATTCGGTGAAAAAAGCTTTTATACATCTAAGATGAACTTCAAGTTGATCGCTGTGAAAGCCTATGCTTGGATTGACACCGGTCGAAAATGAGCACGTTCCCGAGCCACATCCTGCAGTTTTCACAGTAAGAGTATGTTGTACAAAGCACGGATTTGAGTACATCCATGGCCAGCGTGCACGGTTTCGTGTGCATTCAACGTTACAGAGTATGGGAAAACAAGCACGTAATATTAAGTGATAAATACTGTCATACTTTACCCACTGTAAATATAATACTCCATAATCGGTACACAGCGCAGCGCGGTTTCTCCCGGACCAATGAACGAATAACTCATGCACACTCTCATT